TTTCTGAGATAAAACTTAACTGCTGACCACTGGGACATTTTAGTAAATTAGGCCTCGGATGACTGTTTTGTAGATTTTCGTTGTTTATTGTTGACTTTATCAAAGTTCAAACCTGAAACTTTCTTCAAGATATGCTGATATGACTTCAGTTGTCTCATGTGTTAGAGAAGCCCAAGACGTGATGTACAGAAGAAGAAAAAAGATGTAAAGATGATGATAATTACATGTTTATTTCTACAAATACATGTACAAGGTATACAGGTCTAGCTGACATCAATGATATACTATTGTATAGAAAGCCGCTTGTTATGCAGAGCATTTCGGGCAAATTATGTCAATTTTGTCCTGGGATGCGACCCACACCAGTCCACTAACACCCACGTACCCATTTTGTTGATGGGTGAACACTGGACATTAAGTGACTTATGGAAACACGTCCTAATGTTTTTCAGCCGTGCCGGGGGGATCGATACCCCGGACCACAGTGTGTGAGCTGAGTGCTCTATCGCTCTATATGATTGGATACATTGGTGTTCGTCAGGGTAATAGGCAACTGCGATGGGTTTGGTGTCTCAAGGAATATAGAAGTTTGTAATGGAAGGACTGACTCCTAGCGTCTGGGGAGGGTAGGAGAGGACTGTAGAGGGATCAAGCGTTTCCGTGACAGTCCTAGACGTAGAATGGATAAGAATTGAGAGTAGTCCATCCTTAAAAAAAAAATATGTGTACTAATATTAGAGTTGTACCAAGGTATATAGTTTTGCTTTTTTGTTTTAGGCCTTTACGATCACAGGAATGATTGGTGAAGACTATGTAGCTCGGGATGTAGTTTCAGTGAATGATAGACTAGATGTAGGAAAATCAAAGGCAAGTACTTGATGAGGGTTATGCTGATGAATAACGTTATTACAAAGCATCAGTAGCAGTTCAGGGGGTCACGCCACTCCATACTAGAGACACGTGTTAATTATTATCTTACTGATGTAGCTGAGTCACATCTTGAGAGTATGATAAACATTCTTATTTGAATGTCATATCTCACTTTCTAGTAGGAAATCTTTAGTATCCGCATAACGAGATGAGGATAGTAAGGACTGGTATCTCCTCACTGCATTCTACAAAAGGGAAAATTTTCCTATGGTTGGGTATTTAGAAGCGATCTGAAAGGGATAAGTGGCACAATTTTTCTGATCAACAGCACAGTCTCCACGGGAAAGGACTCCTTAAAGAAGTTGTTTATTGGTGGTAACTTAGGCTATATTTTCCTCTCTTACTTGGAGCTAAATACTCTGACTACTAACACCTGAGCACTGTGCTACTGTAGCCTCTCCTTATACTGCCTACTACAATTTACGTTTCCAGGCTACATCAGGCAGTTTCAGACGCTGGAGCATTCAACACACCTTTATTTTACATATAAAGTTTCGACCTCACCTGGACTCATTATAAACAGTACTTCTAAACAAACCATTATTAATATTTAAATCCAATATGGAAAATGTATTATAAACTGAAGGTTGAAAAGAAGAGGAGGAACAGACATACCAGCTAGTGATCTACAGTCTCCTCTGAGTAAAACTTTTCGTTATCTGCTAAAACAAACTAAATTCTTAGATATTACTAAAACTATTACAGCTAAATTAATGAAAGGTTATTGTAATAAATTCGAAATTCAAAATTTTACTTCTTTGAGTAGTATACAGTGTGTAATTTACATGCCGTAAAATACTGCAAAAGGCAAAGAAAGCCACTAGCATGTTTCAGCATTTAGGGCACAATACTGTACATATATTGTACTGTACATGTAACAATTAAAATTCTGCATAACTTTTTATGCTATACATTTGTACTTTGAGTAAACTCTTTACTGTAATACACATAAATATACAACTACACAGTAAAATATTCCTAGCTTGTACAACTTCTATATGCTTCTAACATCTCCAACTGACTGACAACATATATTATGTAAGGTATGTGCTATGCAGATTTAAGTGCAGAGAGAGTATAGAATATATAGATCTTCACGTAGTCTCCACGTATGAGTTGAGAGACTACCTCTCAATATACATACACTACACAAATCATATACACTATGTATTTCCACATACTCTTCCTCTTACTACTACTACTACTACTAATAATAATAATAATATCTTTATTTACTACAAGTACATGTACAAGGTATACAGTCCTAGCTGACATCAATGACATACTACTTTACAGAAAGACGCTTGTTATGCTGAGCATTTCGGGCAAATTAGGTCAATTTTGTCCCAGGATGCGACCCACACCAGTCGACTAATACCCAGGTACCCATTTTTACTGATGGGTGAACATAGACAACTGGTGTAAGGAAACACGTCCAGTGTTTCCACCCTTTCGCTGGGAATCGAACCCAGACCCCTCACCGTGTGAAGAGAGAGCTTTTGCCACCAGGCCACGGGACACCACTAGCAAACATTTATTATTAAGAATCAAGTTAGTGTAAGTCACAGTGCAAGGCTCTATAAAACAAGACACTTGAGCAAACACTAGGACATATTTATCACACAGCGTTTCGCTCCTGGGGCCTTGATTAAGGCCCCAGAGCTGAAACGTTTTTAATATATCCTAGTGTTCTCTCATATGTTTTTCTAAACCATTTGGTATCAATTACTAGGCTTTATCGTAATAGAAGGTTCAAGTTCTAATCGTCTTTCTTGTTACCACTGACCGTTGGTAAGAGATCATTCCCATCGTAGCTCGAACGCCAGCGAACTCAACTCACATACCAGGGGATCGTCCGGGGATCGATCCCCTGGTATGTGAACATTATGGAATCAAAGTCTATGCTCTCACATAAAGTCCTCTCACTTACAGACAGACTATCAGTGACACAACCTCATCATTTGTCATATCAATATTTTGATACCACAAGGTAACGTCCTTGGCTCATTATTATTCCTCATCTATATCAGTGACGTACCAAATGGTTCCCAGAAACTCCATCCAGTCCTGTTTGTAATATAAACATTTGTCATATCAGCGAGGAGATGGTGAAGATTTCTACCTGGATGGCAACCAACAAACTAACTCTCAATATTGTCAAGACTCTCTACATGTTGTGAAATAATCTGAAAATACTTATTTTAATGTAAACAAAATAATTTAAGCACAGAAAGACAAGAAGAGTGTAACTTGGAAGTTAACATCCACATCCAACATATATATATATATATATATATATATATATATATATATAATATTATATATATATATATATATATATATATATATATATATATATATATATATATATAACCAGTATGTGGGCATTTATCAAAATTACATTATGTTCCTCAAACGACATTAATCACTCTCTAATCTAGCCCTACCTCACTTATAGTATCTATGATTGGAAATAAAATACTGAAAATCACCTGAAATCTATACTTACTCAGCAGAAATCAGCGGTTAGGATAATCACTCAATGTGCTTTCAGACAATACACACCCGTCACTATTCGAAAGACTCAATTTACTCCTCATTCAGCACATGCACACCAACTGCTGTGCAATGTATATGTACAGAATACTTAGAACGAGCTTCATCCCAGCGCTCGCTCCCATCCTGTTCCTCATCCTTATATCTGACAGAGATGTAAGCCATAGCCATTGAATGTTGTAAGCTATGGGTGTTTGTCTTCCTTACTGTGTTGAGCTAAAGCTTCTGGATCTTTTAAAAGTTATTGTATAACTCTAAGGTCTTTTAAGCTAACTGAGCTGCAGCTTCTCTACTTTATTTCGCTGACCTAGAAAATGTACAGAGGACCTTCAAGGCGCACACTACAGCGATAAAACACCTCAGTAACTGAGATCGGTTGAAGTTCCTAAACCTGTACTCTCTAGAACGCAGGCTGGAGGTGTACATGATTATATACACTTGGAGAATCCTAGAGGGATTAGTATCAAACTTGCACACGAAAAATCACTATAAATGCAAAAGACTCGGCAGACGATGCATCATCCCCCATTGAAAAGCAGGACGCCACTAGAATGATAAGAGACAACACAATAAGTGTAAGGGGCCCAAGACTGCTCAACTGCCTCTCAGCATACATAAGGGGGTTTACCAATAGACCCCTGGCTGTCTTCAGGAAGGCATTGGACAGGCACCTAAAGTCAGTACCTGACCAGCCGGGCTGTGGTTCGTACGTCGAGTTGCATGCGGCCAACAGTAACAGCCTGGTTGTTCAGGCCCTGATCCACCATGACGCCTGGTCACAGACCGGACCGCGGTGGTGTTGACCCACGAAATCCTCTCCGGGTAAAGTTACTGTACTTCTTTGAGTGCCTATATATAAAGAGTGTGAGGAGTTACGTGAGACTTCAGATATTTACTCTCGCACTGAGCAGTTGAAACAATTCAAACAAGTCTAGTGTCTCGTTGATTCTTTTTTTTTTTTTAATTTTTGTTCGAAGTCATTTGAAAGTGAAAGAAATATGCGGCCGGTAGTAACAGCCTGGTTGGTTAGGCCTTGATCCACCGCGAGGCCTGGTCATGGACCGGGCCGAGGGGGAGTTGACCCCTGGAACACCCTCCAAGTATACGTTTCAAGACGCTCATATAGATTTCTTTCATTTAGACTTCGTCCTACAAATACTAATTTCCTAGCCAGTTTAGAAAAATCATTTCTTAGGTTTCTAGTGGAAGGAATTTCCATATTTAAATTGAGTTACCCACAAACTTTTCATTAGATAGAAATTGTGGTCCACCTTCTCTCACGTGATTAACTACTGAATTGTTTCCCATAGATATACTATAAAACCCTCATGTCATAATAGTCATGAATACCACTATGAGAAATTTTTGAAACAAACAATAACTCAAAGTGATCAATTAAAACACAACGTATCTGGTAAAAGTTATGAGATATTTTATCTGCAGTTTATTTTTATCCTTTATTCTTATCATACATTGGTCATGATGATAAGGTAGTATTTGCGATTACAGCTGTGCTGAGGTGTAGCCTATGTTAGTGTATGTAGGAGCCGAGTGTCAGCCGTGTTGAGGTGTAGCCTGTTAGTGTGTGGAGGAGCTGCCTGACTGTTGCTTGCTACGGTCAACCTTCACACCAGGACCATTAACATTTAACTCAAAGATCAGTTTTCTGCAAAATTGTTTTGAATAATAAACGTGTAAGCAAGATCAAATGGCTAAACGTCACAATCAGTGGTGATAATAATGGTTGAACTTATAGTCTCGTCAGAACTATCAATACATAAAGAATTTCCGAGAATTTTATATAGACATACATAAAACAGCGCACAAAAGAATATATTGATATTCAATTCTCCATCTGTCTTCACATATTTTCAGTAGGCTTGGAAAAGTTAATTATGATGAAGTCATTGATACTGGTGATGTTGTGGTGTGCTCACCAGGCGGCTGGTGCCGCCGTTATGGTCGCTGTTTACCTGGAAACTTTCCAGAGTGGTGTGTGGAAGGTGCCAGAGGACACACTCCACAATCTTACACTGTCTCTCGGCTTCAACGCCAGTGAAGTTATCTGTGATCATGGAAGTGACCTGAAGGAGGCGCAGCTGGTGGTGACGGTGATGCCTGACGAAGAATGGAAGCTGGACTTTGTCGATACCAAAGCCAACTTCACTGCGGAGGAAGTGTGTGAAGGAGTCAACAAGAGCCTCACTTTCTCTGGTTACTACTGGGGAGTCACCAGACTGACCTTCCTCCTCACTCACAACGACCTCGACCCTTACTTCACTAACTCCACTTTACTAAGAGATGACCTTATGGTAAGTTATCTTCAGAGCAACTTACTGAGAGAAGACTTAATAATAAGTGTTTTCCTCACACTACTTACTAAAAGAAGACTTTATGGTAAGTGTCATCCTAACACCACCTTTCTAAGAGACGTGCTAATGGTAAGTGTCATCCTAACACTACCTTTCTAAGAGACGACTTAATGGTAAGTCCTCTTCATCTTGAGATATTGCATCATGATGTTTTCCTCACTCCACCTTACTATAAGACGACCTAATGCAGGAGGGGAAGGGAATAACTTTTGGTCGTGACATTCATAGCAAATCGAACCACTTATTACACATTTTTCATTGATAATAAACCATATCGACCGAAAACGATATTTTGTCTGTACCGATGTAACGTTGCATATAAGAAGTCCTCACTTAAAGTCGTCGATAGGTTATTGGAAACTGCGACTTTAAGAGATACGACGTATAACGAAACCAATTTTACCATAGACTAATTCCTATAAACAAGAGTTAAGTTCGTGCGGCAAGGGAGAGCTGAGAGGGAGGACAGTAGTGCTGCAGGCGCCATGACTATAGAGTGTGTTACTTTGGGACGCTATAAAGTCGTATATTTACCCTGTTCTTAACATTTTTATTATTTTAAGTATCACATGTTTTCCAGAAATATATAAGAAACACACAATATTTCATAAAAACTGAGTACAAACAGCCATATGGGAGGAAATGACATAAGCGGACATGAAGAGTTACGCCGATGCCATGTCCTCTATCCAGATATTAAAAGTTTTTCCGTATTTTCCATTCCTTGCCGGAATTGATTTTTCTCATCAGTGTTAAAATGAAACGACGTTAAGTGAGGACTTCCTGTAAATATTAGAGGTACTTTCCACACGCACAAATCATACGCATCCATAGATTTCGTTTAATATTTTATAAAAATATTTGACTTGTCATTTGTCATGATGATCTGAGTTTTGTTTATCACTACGCTACAAACAATGTTATGAACTTGAGTCAGCATGTGGATCTTACTACAGAAAATTAAGATACTATGCTCTTGAAAGAAGGAAAAGGAAATCTCCAAGAACGACTGTATAGTTCTCGACACCTTCAGTGTTTCACCATCTTAAATAACAACAAACAACGTCACAAATTCAGTTGCTGCAGATACACATCCTCTTTTTATATACTTGGAAAATGAAAACGGTCAGTGTTGTCAAGGATGATCATCTTTTGCAAAACACTGATTTAATATTCAACAAACCTCAGTTAACTGATGATGAAACTGCAGTAGCTGGAAAACTGTTCATCATCGTTATATAAAGCAAACATCACAATACATCTCGGTCTACAATGGATATATACGGCACACTGGATACAGTTCCCCGTTAGGGAGGGGAACCTCTACCTGTCTCCGAGACCCGTCTTCCACGATGTCTCATCGTGTGAGGATTAAACCCAAGACCGCTGTCATCAAAGGTGCCACGAAGCTTGAACCTGCGTCTGCCCTCTGCATATAATAGATGTTTGGAATTGATGAATCAAGAAACTGTGAATACTGATGATTTAAAATTGTATTTAGATGCTTTAGGGAATAGATATGATTCATACAAATTATATTATAACAAATATGAAGGAGATTTGTTAGTAAACTGTGTAGATGAGACTGAAGTAGATCTTATGATTAACCAGTATTATGAATTAGAAGAAAAGATTCTTTCTTGTAAAAGTCAGGCTTTGAATAAATTAAAAGGTGTAAACCAGGCAGTTAATCAATCTGTTCCAACAAATAAAATGTCTCTGCCAAAACTCCCAGAATTATGTTTACCTGTATTTAATCCTGGAGAAAATTGGGAGCAGTTTTGGCCAATTTTTAAAGCAGCTGTACATGATAGGAGTGACCTAGCCTGTGTAACTAAATTATTTTACCTTAAAGGGCAGATAAGAGGAGATGCTCACATGCTCATACAAGCCTTTCCCAATGTAGATGATTCTTACAAGGAAGCAGTTGACTTGTTGAAGGTCACTTATGGTAATATACAACAAAGTAGGTTGGATCTAGTGAATAGCATTGTTAATTTAAAACCTCCAGATCACACTTACAAAGGTTTACAGCAGTTTAGAGTTAAACTGGAGAGCACTCTCAGAACTTTAAGTAATAAATATAATCTGAAGGAATCAGACTGGCTATTGAGTGCCATTGTACAGAATAAATTAAGCTGTAAAACACTTGAATGAATCTCGAACAAGTATCATAAAGATTATTTTGGTCTGGAGGAAATAAGACTAGGTCTACAAGAGTTTATTGTTCAGTTGCAGACCAGCCAACCAACTCATTTTAAAGATGCAACACATAATAACTCTGAGGTATCTGTCAAGTTTCACAAAGGGAAAAATGATCCCAATGTTAATAATCAGAATTCATCTACTAATAAGAGCTGCATAGGTACATATCAAGTAGCAGGAATCAGAAATAAGTACCCTCCTAAGAGTAGCCCAGTTAATAAGAAACCAGTCAAAGAAAAGAGAGATTGTCTTTTCTGCAAGGGTACTATTTTTTTTTAAGAATTGAGTGCATACAATTCATGGAATGATAAAGTTGAAAGATTGGAAGAGCTTGACAGATGTATCAGATGTCTAGGTAATCACAATGTAAAGGATTGTCATGCCAAATTAAACAACTGTTATCAATGTTACAAGGGAAGACACCATATAGTCATGTGTAAGGGTCTATATGATAATGTTGATAATAATGATAATGTTGACAATCCTGACACAACAGTGGCTAATGTAAAAATTGTTGCTAATGTTAATAATGATGGTTTTGCTGAAGTAGCCTTACCTGTGTTACAGGTAAATATTTATGTTGAGATTCTGGCCAGTATTTTCTTCATATTTAGGCAGGAGGGGTATGACACACCGTAATCTCCAGACTAATTGGTGAGTCTTATTATTATAAATTCTCCTTCAATGTATATGTATTCACATTTTAAATTTAATTTACAGTCCACATGTTTATAGTAATGTTTTTACCAGAATTCCTGGTGATGTATATTTCATTTGAAATTAATATAGGTCCAGAGTGACTTATGGAGTGATAGATTATGGTAGGTATCGAAGGGGGACATTTTTTGCGACCTAGGTGTCCTAAAATTCCTACTTGTCTCTGTAACCTTGATAAAGAATAATTATCTTTGTTACCATTTACTGGTATGTATCTTATGAGCTACATCCAGGTAAATTTAATTTTCCACAAAACCTGAGCCAGCAACACTTTGTAACCACAACAGTAGAGGACTGATTAATAAGACTATAGAAATTAGGAGAACTCTCAAGAAATGATTAGGAAGTCTACGAGGAGCTGAACAAAATATTTAAGATATTTTCATAAAAAATATGGACATTATCCTAGAGCCCAAGAAGAAGAAGAGCGCATTAACGAGTATTTTATCTCTTCTCAACAGGAGAAGAGATAGAGAAACTACTGAGCGAGATAGAAACCTGGAAGTAGGTCAAGATAATATTTCTTTGCATGGATTTTGAGAAAAGAAAACTATTGATCCACTGTGTGGCTAATCACATAAGCATATACACAAATAACCCGCACATAGGAGAAGGAGAAAGGAGCTTACGACGACGTTTCGGTCTGACTTGGACCAATTACAAAGTCACAAGGTTATAAAAGCATATATGAATGCACGCATGTTTGCGCATATACGCATAAATATGCAAAAACATGCATACATAAGGATACACACTCATGGTAATACATACACACATGCATACATACTTCTATATTTTGCTATATATTAGAATTTTATGATTGTTCTGTTCCATTATTTGTTCATGCATTGGGATAGAGGGGGCTGGGCTTATGGGATACGGGGATACCTTTCTAGGATCGAGCAGAGAACCGAAACACATGTAATGTCTAGGTGCCCACTTGTGATTGTTGTGGTGGAATCTGGGATATTAGTTATCTGCAATAACTTGTTTAAGCAACTGGTGATTGTAGTGCCACATCGTCACGGATGATATTTAACTGTCTGCTAAATTTATTTGGAGGCTGGAATACTAGGATAGTGGGATACCAGGATATTGGGATACCAGAATACTGGGAAGCAGAATACTGGGATACCAGAATACTGGAATACCAGAATATTGGGATACCAGGATACTGGGATACCAGAATACTGGGAAGCAGAATACCGGGATACCAGAATACTGGGAAGCAGAATACTGGAATACCAGAATACTGGAATACCAGAATATTGGGATAGCAGGATACTGGGATACCAAAATACTGGGAAGCAGAATACCGGGATACCAGAATACTGGGAAGGAGAATACTGGGATACCAGAATACTGGAATACCAGAATATTGGGATAGCAGGATACTGGGATACCAGAATACTGGGAAGCAGAATACCGGGATACCAGAATACTGGGAAGCAGAATACTGGGATACCAGAATACTGGAATACCAGAATATTGGGATAGCAGGATACTGGGATACCAGAATACTGGGAAGCAGAATACCGGGATACCAGAATACTGGGAAGCAGAATACTGGGATACCAGAATACTGAAATACCAGAATATTGGGATACCAGGATACTGGGATACCAGAATACTGGGAAGCAGAATACCGGGATACCAGAATACTGGGATACCGGAATTCTGGAATAAGAAGCATCCATTTATTTTAGTAATAATAATAATATTATTTTCGTTCTCTCAAGGAAGGTTTCTTGTGGCCGCTGAGACTCTTGCTACAACCACTAATACACTGACCTTCTCTTCCTGATTACCTCCTCATTCCTCAGTCGCTGTTTGACCCCTACGGATTTAGCATTCCCCCATGAATGTAATAGTGATGATTACATTCCTGGATTAACCTGCACACACTGAGTGTCCGTGGTTCGATTCCCGGCAAGGGTGGAAACACTGGACATGTTTCCTTACACCTGTTGTCCCGTTCACCTAGCTGTTAGTCGACTGGTGTGGGTCGCATCCTGGGGGACAAGATTGAAGGACCACAGTGGAAATAAGACAGAAAATCCTCAATACCGCACTGACTTTACTGAGTTATCCTGAGTGGCTAACACTCCAGGGTTAAAAATCCGAATAAAATCTTATATTTATATTATCATAACTTTGCAGATCCTGGTGGACCGCAAGGCTCACGCGCTGGACCTTATCTTCATCATCTTCGCCTCAGTCTTCATGCTCTTCAACAACATCAACATGGGCGCCCAGCTGGACTTGCAGATTATCAAGGATGTTCTTCGTCGGCCTCTGGGTCCAGTTTGTGGCTTCATATCTCAGTTTGCTTTTATGCCTCTGGTGAGTGGGACTTTATTTTTCAGTCGACTTCAGTTATAATCTGAGTTTAACTTACAGTTATTGGCTAAAAATTATTCAGTATTCTAAAAATCTGAGACGAGGGATAAAACAGGAAAAATATTAACTGAAAAACTTGAAGGTTTTTCATAAGATGGCTTTCTAAGCTTCCCAAGATATATACACTGAGATGAGTATTTTTCTCAGCGTATATGTGCTGAGAATTTACTTTAATGCCTATTTAAGGGACTCAGGTATTCTCGTCTGGTGGTTGAAATGTTAACATGCAGCCTTAATGACCCTAGTCTAGTTGATAGGTTGTAAATCCCATTAACAAACCAACCTTAGCTTAATGACCACTAAAATGGAGTCCCAGTTTGTAACTGTAGCTAAGCATTATGTCTACAGTATGGTTTAAAAAACTACTCTTTAATCTTAGGCCAAATCCCCTTTTCTTAATATAATTTTACTCATAATCTTGATACGCTTGATGAGTGCAGCTTGAGTAAAAGACAGATCATCAGCTCCTCTACTTTCTGGGTGAAAAATTACTTTCTTGTCTCAATAAAGTGTTCCTCACGACACAGCTCCAGTGACTGCAATCATTCCTCTGTTGAGTGTGAGGCTGACCTACCACCCGAGACATGGGGATGACGTCCCCATGAACATTCTACGTGTTCCATGCAATCCTTTTGCCTTTTCCTTCAAAAAAATGAGACTGTCACAGCCAGTAAATGAGTTGAACATTGGCAGGGCAATAGACCGGTCAGGACCCCCGAAACCCTCTCCAGGTAATATCATGAGTGACAAGACAGAGGAAGTTCTTCCTAGCACCAATTTCAGCCAATAACTCATTAACACTAAGGCGCTGTGTTGATGTTATAGCCAGGACTACAACGTCGGAGTCAACTTTTTTTATCAGCACTGTTGTTTCAGAGTATCGCATAACTGGAGTAAGATGCGAATGTTTGCCTCTTCATGGGAGGATGAAGCCAGTCCCTTGACATCTTGGAGATTTACACAAAAGACGCTGGTTTTGTGTGCGGTGATGACTTGTTTGTCAATGTCATTGCCAGCAGTCCTCAATGCCAGAAACAAAAAACCAATTAGGTTTTGTTCTCATCAGCGTGGAAAAACTACTACCAGTTTTCATGAACTAGATTTGACAGTATGGCGTGTCTCTTAATACCTTTGCCCCTCTTTGTCCGTGTTTCACTCTTTAAGCTTTCAGACATGCAGTATACACATCGTGAATGATATCTAATCGCTTTACATGACGAAGCTGAGGTTTTACGTATGGCAGGAAAACATGAGTAGCATAATCCTGGAGTATTGTGGCATGTTGACAGCATTATCTCCATCAAGAACGACAACCTGCACCACACGAGTAGAGAAATTAGATCTAACTTGCGCGAGGTCTTCCAAGCTGTACAGAAAAAAAAATATTGGCTTCTTTCCGATTCTGAGGATCCCCGTACGTATTTGAAATTGATGGTGGAAAGGAGTTTTAGGAAGACCATAGAAATAAGGTACAGAGAAACAGACAACAAGGAAACGTTGAACAAGACCAAAGTCTCTTCCTCTCTACCTTACTTCTGTTGTGGCTGTTAGACTTGATTTTTATGGTGAAGAAAATCATGCAACTCACTACTTAGTATCTGGGGAGCAATGTCAAGCCTGCAGAGTAAGGAACAGTCATTATTCAGTTATACCAATCGTAGCTGTTTACTTGACTTCTCTCTGACTGAAGGACGGCTTAAAATATAGAGCTCGTTCCGTTTTCTTTGATCTGTGACAGATTTAACTCGGTTGATAAGTTTATTAATGTACGTCTAATATTGGTCAACTCTAAGTATCTCAGTCTTCTGCAGCATCTCTGCCACCGTTGGATTTGCCGTATCTCTACTCTCCAGGACAATAAGATCGATGCTGTTTCAATTAAAAGGATATTCACTCTTTAACTGCTTGTGTCAGAGACTTCCCATGTTTTCCAAATGCCAACTTTAAAGTGTTGTGTTGTGGAAAATACTGTATATTTTCCGGAAATACGGCAATTTATAGATAAATAGATGCCCTATATTGTATTTTTAAAAGAAGTATGTTATCGAAAATGGGAAACTGGACCTGCGCCTGCACAGACAGGACTCGCCATCTTGGTTTTGAATTGGATACAACGTTAGTGTAATGGGAAGGAATTTTCGTGCTCTAGAGGTTAAAATTGGGCTTACACCTCTTAAATAAGAGGTGAAATTGTTGGACATGCATTCCTGCATAACTTGAGATATCAGACGAGTGGACAAGACAGCTCCAGGAACCTCAGATAAGCTCTCTAGATTTGTGTATAATTCTGGCCAGTGTTTTCATAAATTTAGTTAGTGAGGTTTTCTGAGTATGATACACATTAATCTCCAGTCAAATTGGTGAGTGATATTAAGATATATTTTCCTTCTGTTATGTAATTGTGTATATATATAACCATTTATTATTTTCAATATACAGTCCACAAATTTATATATTTACCAGTATTCCTGGTGTATGTATAGTTCAGTTAATTAATAGGTCCAGAGCAACTTGTGGTTATGACAGTGGTAGGTATCGAAGGGGGACATTTTTTGCGACCTAGGTGTCCCAAATTCCTACTTGTCTATGTAACATTGATAAATAATAATTATCTTTGTTATAATTTACTGTTATGTACATAATTAGTTACATTCAGATAAATGCAATTTTCCACATGTGTGTTCATAATGGCTGCCATTCATGTTTCCGCTGTTGTCAGTTGAATTCTCAAATTCTTGTCGTATACCATACAGTGATGTATAGCTACTGGGTTTTCTGTCAGCCCTACAGTTCTACAATCACCTTTAACTGATGCATTATTCTGCTTAGGGCCTGGTCAACAGCCGTGGCAGAGGATATACCTGATGTCTCGACAACAAATTTGCCTTTCATTAACTCTTCATAGATGTTAGGACGGCGCTCTTTCAGTGATACTATATTGCACAAGAAAACTGGAATACATCTTGCGTATTAAGTGTATCCCAAGGTGAAGAACCAAGGCCCCATCTCGGTCAAGTCCTAAGAAAGTTGGAAGTCTAGTTTTTCGTATCGTTCTCACGTTAACCATTAATTAGGTGAACTCTCAGGATGATGTACCAGAATCATACTTGGGGACAAACCGCATTTCTTACTCTTCCTGTAACATAACATCTGTGTTGCTATCCTCTAAATACGTGCAGTACTCAGTATAGGCCTACTGTAGAATTACATAATAATAATAATAATAATAATAATAATAATAATATAATAATAATAATAATAATAATAATAATAATAATAATAATAATAATAATTTTTATTTGAACACGATACATAGTTGTACAAGGAATTATTGTAGTTGGGTGTACATGCCAAAAGCTCCTTGTATACAGAGCATTATGGGGAGCCTTAACTATGCTCCTTGTATACAGAGCATTATGGGGAGCCTTAAACTACTAGCTGTGACCTGATGAGTCTTCCGAGTGCGTGTCACATGGGATGCAGGAAGTATGCTACCCAGTACGTATGCTTACCATAAGGTATGCTGCCTAGGAAATATATTGCCTGGGGAGTATGCTGCCAAGGATGCATGCTGTTCAGGAAGTATGCTGCCCAAAAGGTTTGCTGCCCAGGAGGTATGCTGCTCAAGAGGTATGCTGCCTAGGAGGTATGCTGCTCAAGAGGTATGCTGCCCAGGAGGTATGCTGTTTCTAGACACATGAAACATCTGGTCCAGTCTGCTACTAGACACATGAAACACCTGGTCCATTCTGTTTCTAGACACATGAAACACCTGGTCCAGTCTTCTACTAGACACATGAAACACCTGGTCCAGTCTGTTTCTAGACACATAAAACACCTGGTCCAGTTTGCTTCTAGACACGAAACACCTGATGCAGTCTGTTTCTAGACACACGAAACACCTGGTGCAGTCTGTTTCTAGACACATGAAACACCTGGTGCAGTCTGTGTCTAGACACATGAAGCATCTGGTCCAGTTTGCTTCTAGACACATGAAACACCTGGTCCAGTCTGCTTCTAATCACATGAAACACCTGGTCCAGTCTGCTTCTAGACTGGACCAGGATTTATCACCCTAACATTCTCTCCACTGTCGAGCAACTTCACTTGGAATCAAGAAAAAAGTTACATTATTTTTTTAAATCACTGTGTGTGTGCATTTACCTATTTGTGGTTCTTGGGGTCGTATCACAGCTCCTGGCCCTGCTGGTGTGTGTGTGACTTTTCTTAATGACCACATCCTCCTCGTTTTCAATAAACGTGTCTGTGATAGAAAATCCAGAACATTAATTTTTACGTAAAAGACAGACAGTCTTGATATTAGGAAAGTTTGAAATTTACCGACCTTTCTAAACTCACTATGGATTATTTTTGATGGCATCCACGTCTCCCTATTGAAATTTCCCAGCTTTTGAGGCTTCCAGATTACAATATTTTTGAGTGATGGTGTATGTTGTAAGTACCATCCTACGTGATTAGTGTGAAGGATAAAGTTAGTTCTTGCTCTTGTAAAATGTACAGACCAATGTATCTGTACAATGTACAATGTACATTGTATCTGTAAAATGTTCTTTACAAGGTTGAATTTATTAACTAAGAGCTGTTATTTCACCAGGGAGGCCTACCTAAGGTATACATTATCTCTCCAGTATGACGCCCACAACACCCTGCTGCCTATTTAATGCTCTTTTGTATTAATTTTGCAACAGAAATGACATACCTATGTATACTCCTTTTAATTTTTATGCATGGCCTATTTCCCAGGTCTTGCTGTATCCACATGTTTTGCACAATCCTCCACAAGATTTATAAAGGACACGCAACAAAATGTTAATTTCAGCAGCCAAAAAAAATATATATATTTTTAATAAATTTCAGGTCACGTTCATAATGGGCCGAATTTTCTTCGATGATCCGCTACATCGCCTGGGAATCTTCACACTGGGCTGCAGCCCCGGTGGTGTGATGTCCAACTTCTGGACTCTTATGTTCAACGGTGACATCAACCTCTCCATCACCATGACAGCCGTCTCCACCATTGCTGCCATGGGTAACTTTCATCCTGAGAGGGGACATGGGATAAATTTCGGTCATTATTTTCAATATGTACAGCCAGTGTGAATTGTGAACATAAGAAAAAAGGAACACTGCCACAGGCCTACTGACTCATGCGAAGCAGGTCCATGCCCCCCCCCCCGATTAGCCCAATGACCCAACTAGTCAGGTCACTTCCACTTAAGGAAGGAGCAAGGCATCAGACCTAGTAGCACAAGCTAGTCAGGTCCAACTCACACCCACCCACACCCACTCATGTATTTACCTAACCTATTTTTAAAACTACACAATGTTTTAGTTTCTATAACTGTGCTCGAGAGTTTGTTCCACTCATCCACAACTCTATTACCAAACCAGTGCTTTCCTTTATCCTTCCTGAATCTGAATTTTTCCTACTTGAAACCATTGCTGCGAGTCCTGTCTTGGCTGGAAATTTTCAGCACGCTATTTACATCCCCTTTATTTTTCCTGTTTTCCATTTACACACCTCCATCATATCCCCCCTAATTCTACGCCTTTCTAAAGAGTGCAGATTCAGGGCCCTCAGTCTATCCTCATAGGGAAGATTTCTGATACATGGGATCAACTTTGTCATCCTCCTCTGTACGTTTTCCAGTGCATTTATATCTATTCTGTATTACTGTGACCAAGACTGTGCAGCATAGTCTAAATGAGGCCTAACCAAGGATATATAGAGTTGAAGAACAATCTGAGGACTTCTATTATTTATACTTCTAGGTATGAAACCAAGGATTCTGTTAGCTTTATTGCAAACACTAATGCACTGCTGTCTGTGTATGATAATTCTATGTAACTGTATTTGTGTATACCTGAATAAGCTTACTTACTTATTTACTTACTTAGTCTTGGTTTTAGATTACTGCTAACCAGAACTCCTAAATCCTTTTCGCAATCAGTAGTATTAAGATTTACATTATTTAGTTTATATGTGGCATGGTTATTTTCCTGTCCAACATTTAGAACTTTACATTTGTCTATATTAAACTGCATCTGCCACTTCTCCGACCATTGCATCAGTCTATTCAAATCATCCTGGAGTACTCTAGTGTCCTCATTAGAATGAATTGGCCGGCCTGTTTTGGTGTCATCTGCAAATTTGCTTATGTCGCTATTTATTCAATCATCTATGTCCTTTATGTAAATTGTGAACAACAAGGGGCCCAACACTGACCCCTGTGGAACACCGCTTGTGACGTGCCCCCATTCTGATTTCTCCCCATTTATGCAAACTCTCTGCTGCCTATTTCTCAGCCATGCCTCTACCCAGGAAAAAAATTCTCCTCCTATTCCGTGTGCCTTAAGTTTCCTCAATAGGCAATCACTCTCATCAGCATTTTGGCTCATAAAATTAATCAGTTTCAACATTTCTCAGAAGCAGTCTCTAAGTTTTTTCTAATATGAGATGGAAGGTTTTCATGCCTGGATGTTTTGGACCAGTCATTTATGAGGTCATTTGCTTTTTCAAGAGGAAAGGGATGATAAACTTTGCCAGTCTTTTTTCTGGTTATTTTGTTTATACCTTTCCAAGCCAAACTTAAAGGGGTATTCCTATTTAATCCACTAACAAATTGTTCCCATTCCTGTTGCCTAAGTCCTTGTTTTCTATTCCTTTCACTTGTTAGTGCAGCTTGGAACATTCTGAGCAGGATTAGGGTTCTACATTCACGGTATGCTGCATGTGTTAGATTGCGTAGCTGTGGATCATTATAGTATTTACATTGGTTTTTATTGTTATTTATAGTGGAAGGTCTATGTTTCCTTTTCCTGCCCACTTGATCTGTGATGACAGTCTCAATAGTAGCAACTAAATCATTGAATTTTTGTGCCAATAGGCTCATAATTCTTATACCATTGATCCAAGTGGTTAATAAAGTTATCTCTGTGTTCTGGGTTGAGAATAAGTTTCCTCCTTCTGTATTTAGCTCCTTGATTGCTGGAGATGTGATCAAGATTGACAGTTGTGAGTCTTGGGAAGTGATCAGATAGAAGATCATCAACTATGACCGAGTCATGTATCGTATATGATGTATTAAATCCAAGGCACTGATCTAGTATGCCACCATATATGTGAGTAGGCTCAGTAGTTTACCTGGAGTTTACCTGGAGAGAGTTCCGGGGGTCAACGCCCCCGCGGCCCGGTCTGTGACCAGGCCTCCTGGTGGATCAGAGCCCACAATTCGAACATTATCATGCTCATTTAGAAATTTCACTAGTTTAGTTCCACTGGTGTTTGTTATAGACCCACCAATATTCTTATGTCTGGCATTAAAGTCTCCAAGAATGAGGGTGGGTTCATTATTGAAGTGATCTGGTAAAACATCAGGTCGAAGCTGGTTCGCTGGGGCATAAAAATTAAAAATGTTTATGGAAAAATCGCCTGCATATACTTCGACACCATGATACTGCATGTTTACTCGACTCTGCAGAGCAAGGAGTGAATGTGGCAAGTTCTTTCTGACATACATCACACAACAGTTGGTTGACCTTAGGTTATAAGCTGCATATCCAGGCAACTTTGGTGGAGGTGCTCCATTTTTCAGTCTACATTCCTGCAAACAGATAACATCAACATTCTTGATTGCATTAATATGATGTAAGTCAGGCAACGGCTTCCTGATGGAAGCAATGTTCCTTGAAAAGATTTGTAAAGTATCCATTGTAGTGAGTTATTACAATCTCTTGCTCATAAGATGGTAAAACTATTATGCTTTGGCTACAGTGTGCAGGCACTTAAGAGCAAATAGCATAGTTTGAACGTGTTTATCTTCAGAACCTTTTACTTTAAGCATTTTTCGGCATTTTGGCAGCCAGTTCCAAGGCAAGTCTTGAAGCCATGAGTCATGGGTTTCTTTCTTACAAATTGCTTGAAACTGAACGTAGATTGCTGTTCTTTTGACATCATCAACGTACTCAGGAGAATCATCCTGACTACATATATTTATTAAACTTGTCAGCATCTGTTCAAGCTGCTCAATTTTTTTCTGCAAGTTTGTTATAATTTGAGGAAGGTCAGGCGAATCCAATGCCTCTCCAGAGGAAGGCACTTCTAAGTTAGTTCTTTCTTTAACACCTATCACCTTAACAGGTAAGATGGTTAAATTGTTTTGTGTTTGCTTTGAAGAAAGTGCTGCCCTACCTCGGTCAGATGATCAAACGTTCATGCTGCATGTCATGATATAACTAAGACCCGCGTCAGAAAACACATGTCCCGTTTCCTGACAAACCTTACCTAACCTAACCTAACCTAACCTAACCAGCATGGGCCGGTAGGTGTGATGTAATGCTCCGTAGTTCTCATGTTCTTACTTCCAGTTCTGCGAAATATATCTAAGAGTTACCTGTCACCAGTGTGTGATCAGGTGACACAGACATTTATTTATTTATTTATTTATTTATTTAAAAATTTGTGCACACATACAGAGGTACAAAAAATACAGAAAAGAGCAGTATGCCAAAGCCACTTATACTATGCATAGCATTACATAACATGTGTCACAGACAAACATGCGATACAGACAAACATGTGACAGACAATATATAACAGACAAAACATGCACCAGATACCCATCCTGTGGGCGATAATCAAAGGATTACAAAGGTACATAATGGGTCCCTGGACCCATTATGTACCAAAGTTTTGATAGCTGAACAAGGTACAAAGGTAATGAACTCCAGGCAGATTTCGTCACAATCATGACCAAGTTACGAGGTAATGAACCATCTACACGTCTATATATGGTTGCAATCATGAACAAATGGCAAAGTAATGAGCCATTCACACATCCACACCCGATCACAACTGTAATGAGTTATTAGTGCAAATATTAATTGGGTCACACACACACACACACACACATTAGTAGCAATCAGTGAAGAGGCGAGGCCAGGAGCTATGAATCGACCCCTGCAACCACAAATAGGTGAGTACACACACACACACACACACACACACACACACACACACACACACACACACACACACACACACACACACACACACACACACACACACACACAAACACACACAAACACACACACACACACACACACACACACATACACACATACACACACACACGCACACAAGCGCACGAACGCGGACAGGATAACGAATAAATATGAGTGGCACGAGAGAATCAATGAGAAATCCCCAGACATCATAGCAGTCACAATAACGAAACTCACTGAGACAATAACAGACGCAATCTTCCCACCGGGATATCGGACCCTAAGGAAAGATGGAAGGAGTAGAGGGGGAGGAGGGGTTGCACTACTCATAAAAAACCGATGGGGATTTGAAGAAATGGAAGGCATGGGCGAGATTGGAGAAAGGGACTACATAGTAGGTACAATTCAGTCTGGAGAACATAAAGTAGTTATTGGAGTGATGTGTAACCCACCACAAAACTGCAGGAGGCAAGAGAGGAGTATGAAGAAAACAACAGAGCGATGGTGGACACACTGGCTGAGGTGGCAAGAAGAGCTCACTCGAGCAGAGCAAAGTTACTGGTAATGGGCGATTTCAACCACAGGGAGATCGATTGGGAAAACCTGGAGCCACATGGGGGTCCCAAAACATGGAGAGCCAAGAAGATGGATGTGGTACTGAAAAACCTCATGCATCAACATGTCAGGGACACTACCAGAGAGAGAGGGGAGGATGAACCAGCAAGACTGGACCTTGTGTTCGCCCTGAGCAGTTCAGACATTGAGGACATCACTTACGAGAGGCCCCATGGAACTAGCGATCACGTGGTTCTGAGTTTTGAATATATAGTAAGAGTTACAAGTATAGAGGGTAACAGGAATTGAATGGGAAAAGCTAAACTGTAAAAGGGGGGACTACACAGGTATGAGAAACTTCCTGCAGGAGGTTCAGTGGGACAGAGAAATGGTAGGAAAGTCAGTAAACGAGATGATGGAATATGTAACAACAAAATGCAAGGAGGCAGAGGAAAGGTTTGTTCCCAAGGGCAATAGAAATAATGGGAAGACCTAAACGAGTCCTTGGGTTACCCGAAGGTGTAGGGAGGCAAAAACAAAGTGTACCAGAGAATGGATAAGGTACAGGAGGCAAAGGACCCAGGAAAATAAAGAGATTAATCGAAGAACCAGAAACGAGTATGCACAGGTATGGAGGGAGACCCAGCGACAGTACGAAAACGACATAGCATCAAAAATCAAGTGCGACCCGAAACTGCTGTATAGCCACATTAGGAGGAAGACAACAGTCAAAGACCAGGTGATCAGGCTGAGGAAAGAAAGTGGGGAACTCACAAGAAACGATCAAGAGGTATGTGAGGAGCTCAACATGAGATTTAAGGAAGTATTTACACTGGAGACAGGAAGGCCTCTGGGGTGACAGAACAGAGGGGGACACCAGCAAGGAATATATCAACAAATGTTGGATGACATACACACAACTGAGGAGGAAGCGAAAAAGCTGCTAAGGGACATTGATACCTCAAAGGCAATGAGACTGGACATCTCCCCGTGGGTCCTTAGAGAGGGAGCGGATATGCTGTGTGTGCCACTTACCACAATCTTCAACACATCCCTTGAAACTGGGCAACTACCTGAGGTATGGAAAACGGCAAATGTAGTTCTCATTTTAAAAAAAAGGAGACAGGAAAGAGGCACTAAACTACAGACCTGTGTCACTGACGTGTATAGTATGCAAAGTCATGGAGAAGATTATCAGGAGGAGAGTGGTGGAGCATCCGGAATGGAACAAGAGTATAAATGCCAGCCAGCACTGATTTATAGAAAGCAAATCCTGTGTCACAAACCTTCTGGAATTTTATGATAAAGTAACAGAAGTAAGACACGAGAGAGAGGTGTGGGTTGATTGCATCTTCTTGGACTGCAAGAAGGCCTTTGACATAGTTCCTCACAAGAGAATAGTGCAGAAGCTAGAGGATCAGGCGCGTATAACAGGAAGGGCACTGCAATGGATTAGAGAATACCTGACAGGGAGGCAACAACGAGTCATGGTACGTGATGAGGTATCACAGTAGGCACCTGTGACGAGCAGGGTCCCACAGGGGCCGGTCCTAGGACCAGTGCTATTTTCGGCATATGTGAAGGACATGATGGAAGGGTTAGAGTCAGAAGTGTCACTGTTTACAGATGATGTGAAGTTAATGAGGAGAATTAAATCAGATGAGGATCAGGCAGGACTTCAAAGAGACCTGGACAGACTGGACACCTGGTCCAGCAACTGGCTTCTCGAATTTAACCCCGCCAAATGCAAAGGCATGAAGATCGGGGAAGGGCAAAGAAGACCGCAGACAGAGTATAGGCTAGGTGGCTAAAGACTGCAAACCTCGCTCAAGGAGAAAGATCTTGGGGTGAATATAACACCGAGTACGTCTCCGGAAGCACACATCAGCCAGATAACTGCTGCAGCATATGGGCGCCTGGCAAACCTTAGGACAGCGTTCCGATACCTTAGTAAGGAATCGTTCAAGACACTGTGCACCGTGTACGTCAGGCCCATACCTGAGTATGCAGCGGCAGTTTGGAACCCACACTTGATCAAGCACGTCAAGAAATTAGAGAAAGTGCAAAGGTTTGCAACAAGGTTAATTCCAGAGATAAGGGGAATGTCCTATGAAGAAAGGTTAAGGGAAATCGGCCTGACGACACTGGAGGACAGGAGGGTTAGGGGAGACATGATAACGACATACAAAATACTGCGTGGAATATACAAGGTGGACAGAGACAGGATGCTCCCAAGAGGAAACACAGAAACAAGGGGTCACAATTGGATGTTGAGGACCCGGATGAGTCAAAGGGATGTTAGGAAGCATTTCTTCAGTCATAGAGTTGTCAGGCAGTGGAATAGCCTAGAAAGTGACGTAGTGGATACGGGAACCATACATAGTTTTAAGACGAGGTTTGATAAAGCTCATGGAACAGGGAGAGAGAGAGAACCCAGTAGCAATCAGTAAAGAGGCGGGGCCAGGAACTATGAATGGACCCCTGCAACCACAAATAAGTGAGTAGGTGAGCACACACGTTAGACCTATATTGGAGTATGCAGCACCAGTTTGAAACCCACACCTAGCCAAGTACGTGAGGAAAGTAGAGAATTGCAAAGGTTTGCAACAAGACTAGTCCCAGAGCTATGGGGTATGTCCTACGAGGAGAGGTTAAGGGAAATCGACCTGACGACACTGGAGGAAAGGAGAGATAGGGGGGATATGATAACGACATTTAAAATACTGAGAGGAAGCGACAAAGTGGACGAAGATAGGATGTTCCAGACATGGGACAAGGCAACGAGGGGTCATAGTTGGAAGTTGAAGACTCAGATGAATCGCAGGGATGTTAGGAAGTATTTCTTTAGTCACAGAGTTGTCAGGAAGTGGAACAGTCTGGGAAATAATGTAATGGAGGCAGGCTCCATACATAGCTTTAAGAAGAGGCATAATAAAGCTCATGGATGGCGAAACGCCAACAATAAAGATACCCAGATGTTGCACATGTGTCTTAATTTCATCTTGTCGGTATTGTATACCATTCTTGTACAGTCTAGTACCAGCCACCCACCACTAGATACCCGGCTTTCGTCGATATCTCATGTCAAATCAGACAAATTCAAATGATTAGCTATTCCTTAGGCCTGTTTGGACACTTATTATCTGAATAGCATCCACATGCACTCCTCACCATTTGAGTATATAATGAACTTACAGAAGAGAGACTTCTTTATCGAAATGGCTGCCATATCTTACCAGGTAGTATATGGTGCTGGCTTGGTGTTTAATTACTTTTATATTTTGAGTGTCTACAAGTTTGCTAAAATGCTCGGTTGTAATAATATTTTTATCCTGCCGTCCCACGAACTGTAAAATTCCGCTATTTCAACAGTAGCAACAGCCACTCATCTTGTAGTGACACAAGGATGCCTTAAAATAAAATAAAATAGAAGAGAGATCTGAGTAAGTAATGGAATGATCGCTGGTGTTGTGCCTGGTGTGAGTCAGTCAGTGTCACTGGTGTTGTGCCTGGTGTGAGGCAGTGAGCGTCACTGGTGTTGTGCCTGGTGTGAGCCAGTCAGTGTCACTGGTGTTGTGCCTGGTGTGAGCCAGTGAGTGTCACTGTCTCAGACACCATCCTTGCTTACCTTTGCCTCACCAAAAATAGAGTTAGAGCCTTCAAGCTGAATTTATCAAAACTTAAGTTTGAGACTTTCACGTTGCTGATTTTCAATGCCTCATATTTTCACATTTTTTTTTTTTAATTTCTCAGTTTTTCTTGATTTTTTTTTAAATATCTTCATAACTTCAACACAACCCCCCATCCTTCAAAAAACTGTCATTGGCCCCTTGTTTTCCATGGACCCAAGACTGTGAACCACTGATATAGTTTACCTCCACAAAGTCAGCCAGATAAATTCCACTTTCCAATAACGCCGAGAAAAAAAAAATGAAATGATACCCTAGTTACTCATTTTCCTCTTCGTCAGGGATGATGCCACTATGGATGTACACCCTGGGAGGGAAGCTGCTGGAGGAGAACGCTAATCTTAAGATTCCCTATGGTAACCTGGCAGGATCGCTCATCAGCCTCACATTGCCCGTCGCTGTCGGCATCTTCATAAGGTCATCATCTAAGTATTCATTATTCTTGTGTTCCCGTTATTGTTCATAGTTCTTACTGATGCTACTACTGTTTATATTAATACTACTGCTACTACTACTACTATTAGTAACACTACTACTACTACTACTACTATTAGTAACTACTACTACTACTACTACCACTAAAGTGTTTTTACTACTACTACTACTACTACTACTGCTATTACTAGTAGTAATACTACTGCTGCTGCTATTAATACTATTGCTACTAGTACTGGGAAGCAATGAAATAATCACCAGTAAACAGATGGGTTTAACACCCTTGCAAACAGTTCATCAGGACCTGGGGATTTGTTAGGTTTTAGTTTCTCTGTTTGTCTGAGGACCATGTCACTAGTTACTGCAATCGTACGATGCCAGTGATATTATGATGCCAGTAATGTTATGTTACCATTGATATTATGATATAATGGATGTTGTGACGACATTGTTGTTATGATGCCAGTGAAGTTATGATGCCATTGATATTTTGATGCCATTAATGTTATTATACCATTGATGTTATGATACTATTGATGTTATAATGTCATTGATGCCATTGTTGTTATGATACCGTGGATGTTATGATGCCATTGATGTTACGATGCAATTGCTGTTATGATACCATGGATATTATGATGCCATTGATGTTATGATGCCATTGATATTATGATGCCATTGATGTTACGATGCCATTGCTGTTATGATACCATGGATATTATGATGCCATTGATGTTATGGTGCCATTGATGTTACGATGTCATTGATGTTATGATGCTATTGATGTTATGATGACATTGATGATGGCATTGATGTGATGATGTCTCCCATTTAAGGGAATCTCAAACGAAACATATATTCCAAATCCAAAATTACCTAATTTCATCTCACTCAAATAAGAGCTGAGAGAGTTTCATGACTACCTGCTTGTGGAGCGGAGAGTGACCTGTCATGGTGTGACCTGTTGCAGGTACAAGCGACCCAGTTGGGCAGAGAAGGGAGCACGCATCATCAAACCCTTCACCTTCATCGTTATATTATTCTTCATGGTCGTGAGTAGTCAATTACCGCTTTCATTTTGTCTCTTGGAAATCCGACAACTAATTATTTTCCATCATCTAACAATCCTGAGACTTAACTGGGAAACCAGAACTATCACGGTTTGCACTTTGAATGCTTCGAGATCCATTCTTTAAGATTCCAGGTAAAATCTGTGTCACACCTCACTTCTCGGTGGCTATAGTGAGTTTGTCACAGGGTAAGTTTCCGCCATATTGGCGGTCAAACGTGTAATAGCGATGAAGTTTACCTCTAGAGAGTTGGAACATAAATGTTTATTTGTCGAGAAATAAAGTAACTACTACTACTCCTAATTAATAATAATAATTAAAATAATAATAATAGAAATATGTACAAATTTACTGTTTATGTAAGAATTTTAAAGTACTGCAAAATTTATTTTTATTGTAGCTTGTGTTTACATTGTCGTACATAAGAAAGTTTGTGTGACTAGTGGAGGAAGGATTGTGTTCACCCTGTGAGGAGCGGCACCAAGGAAACAAATAGATCATAAAATGGATCTTTGTGACATCCCACTGGATATGGTTTCTTAATCATACATTACATTCATTCATTATAATTACGCCAGTGTGGTAATGCAAGCCTTAACAACTTGCAAGAGTAACCAGGACTTTGGAGAGGGTAAATAATGACAGCCTTCTCTAAGATACTATTTGTCTGAGGACCATGTCACTAGTTACTGCAATCGTACATAGTTTATTATCCTGTTCTATATAATCTATTATTTCAGGAAAATCGCTAGTATTTTCCTGGGTGAAAACTGAGAGGAAGTAGGTACTGAGAATTTCACACATATCCTTATCACTGTCAGTGATCTGACCAGAGTTATTCTTAACTGGGCCAATCTTGTCCCTAATCTTACTTCTGTATATCTAAAAGAACCCTTTTGGGTTAGTCTTTGAATCCCTTGCGACGTTAGCCTCATAATCCCTTTTTGCTTTTCTTATTCCTTTCTTTACTTCTCTCTTTAATTGAATATATTGATTTCTTAACTGCCCATTCCCTCTTTTGATACGCCTATATATGCCTTTCTTTTGGCCAATGAGATGTTTTAATCTATTGTTCATCCATTTGGGATCATTTTTGTTAGATCTAATTTCCCTACTCGGAACAAAAGTTGTCTGGGCAGCTAGAACTATGCTCTGAAAAACGTCATATTGGCAACCAAGATCACCTACCTGACCCATAATCAGGACATCCCAATTAAGCCCACCCAGGTAATTTTTCAGTCCCATGAAGTCGGCCAAGCGAAAATCTGGGACAGAGATTTGATTGCAGTTATCTGGGTAATTCCATGATATATTGAAACTAAGTGATTTGTGATCACTTTCTCCAAGCTCATCATTAACCTCAAGATTATTAATTAGTGAATCTTTGTTGGCAAGAACCAAGTCAAGCAGATTGTTTCCTCTAGTTGGTTCTGTCACAACCTGTTCTAAAAAGCAATCCTGAACCGTATCAAGAAAGTCACTAGACTCAAGATTTCCTGTCATATTGTTCCAATCAATTTGTCTAAAGTTAAAATCTCCTCTTATCACAACATTTTCATATCTAGATGCCTTATGCATTTCGTCCCATAACAGCTTACTGCCCTCCCTATCAAGGTTTGGGGGCCTATAAATCACACCCAAAATTAATTTTTCACGTCCCTCGAGAAACTGTAGCCAAACAGATTCTGTGTTCGATGTTTCTAATCTTATATCATGTCTAAGACAACAATTTAATTTTTCTCTGACATACATCGCCACTCCACCACCCTTCCTGTTGACCCTATCAGTGTGGAATAGTTTATAACCCTGTATGTTGCATTCAGAAGGCATTTCTCTATCTTTCAGGTTGAACCAGGTCTCTGTTATACCAATAATATCTATATTACCTACACTTGCAAGTAATCTTAGCTCATCTATCTTATTTCTTAGACTCCTACTACTTGTATAGTAAACCTTAAGGGAGCTAGTCACTCGTTGCCCTCTACTATCTTTGTTTGTTTGTTGATCAATTGATTTGCCATTACTAGCAACTTTAAAACCATACCCCCGGCCGGGATTGAACCCGCGGTCATAGAGTCATGTTGACTAGCAACTTTATATTGCATATTGTCATTTAAACATATCCCTGAGGTATCCCGGTAATAACTGCTGTTTTTAACCCTTATGCCGCAGCCTGATTGTTTCTCACATTATCATTACTAATATAAGCACTGGTTACTCACTAGGTTACAATCCCATCCAATAAGAGATTCCTTCATCTAGCTGTAGCAAAGTTTAGTTAGAAAGTGATGGATTTGACATTTTCTTATTAATAGAGTCAGTGATATACCGCGACCCACAGGGTTTGCTCGGACGTCTTATTAAATAATTGATGTTTGGATACAGAAAACATAATATTCTGGTGAGTAGCCCCTGTCTCCGTGCACACATTTGACGTTTATGTGATCGCCAGCTCCATGTAAACTGAACTGCCAGAGATATTTGGTTTAACAGCGAGTACCTCCTGTAGTCTGCTGATCTTGTTACTTTCTCCATAAACTTGTTTTACTTGATACAGTTGGTTACTAGGGACCAATGGATCTGAGAGTTCTCATCTGTACTCTTCTACTTCTTACTCGTTGTCTCAATCTTTTTCTAACACTTTTGACCACGTTTCTGGAGGCCTGTGTGAGAGGGAAGACTCGTAATTATAACTTTAATTCAAGTCATTTATTTGTGCAGTGTACGTGTCTTGCGTTATACATGTACATGTTAGGTTCAGAACTTAGGTTATTTAAGGCAAGTAATGACGTCAGGGAGTTAGAAACAACTAAACTAGCTGTAATTGCATGTACGTAGACTTAGTTACTGCTGTACTAAATTAAGTGTTTGTGTTACATTTGTATATACACTAATAACATCCGTGTGACATAATAATTTGTAAGTTTTGATTTTGTAGCTTAGTCACTCTCTAATACAGCGTATTTGACCGCCAAAATGGCGGAGATAGTAGCTCGCGTCACGTGACTGCAATCTCTTTATATTATGTGAAGCCATTATAAATCCTTTAAGCTTCTCATACAGTAATAACAACCTCCAAAAATATATATAATTCATTATGTACGAAGCAAGTGCCTAGAAATTACCCGAGTCTTCCTAAAACGGCAAAACTAACATATAAACACGGTCGTCCTCCACGGTCTTCTGTATATATTTCTACAGTCTCCATATTATGTCCATGTATTGATAGAACCACTGGATGGCGAAGCGTCTACAAATGTTGCACATGTGTCGAATTCATCAAACATGTTGTTGTCTCACAGCTGGGCACCTTGAACTCGTACAAGGTGTTTACCATGATGACCTGGCAGATGGTGGTGGCAGGATCCCTAGTTGCTCTCTGCGGCTACAGCTTCGGTGCCATCTTCGCTAAGCTCTGGTGCCTCTCCACCGACAAGGTCATCGCTATCAGCATCGAGACAGCTCTCCAGAACCCCGGAGTCGCCTTCATCCTTCTCAAGCTCTCTCTTCCCAGCCCAGACAGGTGACCTCCCTTTTAAAGTGCTTTGGGTCATGAAGAGTATGATATTCAAGGTGGGATATTCATGATGGTAAGGAATGAGTATACTTAATAACTAATGAAAAGAAAAACACTTTTCTAAAAAAAAAAAAAAAAAACGATAAAGCGATCTATAAACTTGGTTCTCAGTCAGAGATCGTGTTTTGCAGAGCTCTGAATGTGAACATTACATATCTCTTTTACCTGTAAACAGATAATTCTGAGATATGACTGGGTAGACAGCTGAGCATTCTTAGCGATAAAAAATAAATCCATCACACTTACGGAAATCAAAGGTAAAATAAATAACGAAAAGCTTCTGGAATTAATGAAATATATAATACAAATAAATAATATCACACTAATCTAGAATAAGTAGCATTAGTTATAATTGCCATTAAATAGTCACTGATAAATAACTCTCCTAAAATTATTCCCAACGTTTCTACAAGCACCGTAAACAACCGAAACGAACAAACTTTATTTCTTTCTGCAGTATACAAGATGTAGTTTACGTGTAATAAAATATTGTTCAACACAAAAGAAAACCACGAACATGTGGTGATTTTTTCGTAGTGATAAAACTTAAGACGAAAGGATGAAGGTCTAAGTCGGGAGGAAACAGTTAAAATGTGTTGCACAGTCAGTTGCATGCCACGAGCCACACAGATGAGGGCTGGAGAAGCTGCAGGGAGGGTGAGTGTGGCTGAGATGCGTGTGACTAGTCCTAAAACGACCGAAAGGGTAACCATTCTTTCTGAATAATGAGACCCTGTCACCTGCTTCCTGCTGTGTCTTTCATAACTTGCTAGTTTGCCTGTTACACCCACAGGACACGCCACTTTCCAGTGACGTATCTAACCTGCATAATAGTATATGGTCCATGAAGTCACTGTGAGGAAGAAGTTTGGTATATAGTGAACTCTTTACAGCAGCCTTCACCTCAGCATCTTCCCGTTCATTTGCTGGGACACCAACATGGCCCGGACACTACTAACCCATCTTCACGCCTTGTGGGGATGGACTAAACACTCCAGGATGGTATATTCTGGTCATAAATTTCCTGGAACATGTGTGTCTGCCTGCTGCTGCAGTTCTTATATTCCCATATAGTTCACGCTGTTGACACATCACTGTTTCATTCTCGTTAAAGACAGCACCCACAGTTCTGTAGCTACTGGTAAATGCTTCATTATTTCCTAATAAGCCGAATCGTACAGTTTGACCTATTTGGCAAGGGTCGACTTTGCCGAAAAAGCAGACGTCCGTTTATTGCCACCAGTTTCTTGTCGCTGTTATATGCTTTTATCGACTCTCATCTTCTTCATAAAGTCTGTCAGTTCATCATGGGCCACCTGCCCTGCAACCTCTATATGTCTGATTCCTACCTTCATTGTGTAATATTTCTTTTAGTTCAGTCATCTAGTTGTTACTGTACTCTAACTCCTCTCCGGAAAATAAATTCTATATTTTGCATATTACGAATGTTAAAAATGACAACTAGTCAGTAGTTGCAATTTTGGGTTTAGGTTTTTCTAAAAAGCTCGTAATCGGGTCCGGTTAGTGTCTATTACTAACTTATCCTGGAGTCTGGTGGTGAATTCTTGTGACTCTCAGTGGTACAGTGGAATATCACAACGGGGTTGAGGTCCTACGTATAACTGATTTCAGGTGACCGCCACTGAGTAACTGAAACAGAATGTGAATTCCGACAAGCTGAAACTAATGAGACTGATAAAGTGTGGAGAACTTTATTAATAACAAGAAGAATGCCTTGCAACAACGCCTCTACTAACGTGTCCTGGATGATGAACGGCGATGGAATTTGGATCAGTGCTCTGAAAATTTTCAATCTCGAAGCCTTTTAGAGAAACTTAATGTCGAAAGAATCATCAAAACAATGAATTTGGAAAGAAGTTAATAACACTCCCTATTTCTTAAATTCATTACTCTGCAAATTAGACACTCCTTTAAAACTAAAGGACTACTGCAAACACGACAACCAACACGACCATGTTCTATTTAGATCACACTTGAACCTAGAGAGGGATACTACCAGGGTTCTTTCTCAGAACTTACAGGATTTGAAGCTCAGAGTTTCTTGAACAAGAATGACAAATTATTAAATATTTTTTCTCCAAGCTTCATTTACTCACACACGTCGCTCGAGGTTATAGAAATAGAACATTTAAGAGCATCTGCACCGACAACTAAGAAAATCAGTGACTGACTCATTATTTTCCCAACATGCAGTATTCCCATTAATCTTTCCAGTTAAAAAGAGCAGGAACATCATCGCTGTCGTTAGGTCTGTCACTATCAACAAGCTCAGATGAATCAAACACAATCACTAATATCAAAAGAAAACTGGGTTGTACTTCTTCGAGTAAAGTCTGCAACACAATTTTCGTGATAGAAGCATCACTGGACATCAACACAAGCATCAAGGAATTCAAATACGCAAGCAGAACTCACAGCACAAAAATACTTTTGTTTTCTTATCCTAGGCACCTATAACTGAGCAAAAGCTAAGAAAAGCTAAAACAAGGGAGGAAAATACATTAGAAAGTGCCTAGAATCGACTCTGATCAGCATATCAACAACACTTTCCACACTCGAGATAACTTCCAAATAGAAAAACTCCTTCGTACCTCACCTTTGTAGCAGACATTGTGAAAATAAACATGATATAACTGACCAGTCTCCACTCTCTTCCACTTTTCTCTTGTATGTAAATATATTTTTGTTCTTTTGTTGATGACTTAAAAACCTTGTCAACCAACTGAAACGTTTCCATTTATAGTTTTTTTTCCCGTACTCCATTAATGTCCTATATGTTCTAATTTGTCTTTATTCACATATTAAGTTCTTCACTCTGGCATTTGCCATATTGCTAGGGTGAAGGTTTTTCCTCTTTGTTTTGATGTTTGCACCAATAATAAGTGTTGAGTGGTTAAGTGCTTCATCATGTTTGTCACAGACATAGTTGTCTTCATCATCCCTCAGCTTAAATAATCTTTCCGTTGGCAATTCAGCCATTGCCTAGTAAGTTTATTTAGGTACAAATCCACGCAAGTACAATTATCATACATAGTAAGATATACTGAGAAAGATCGGAGTCACCATGATTCAAACCAACGTGAGGGGAGTGACACATACCCCAGTGTGGCGTTTTAGACCAGTCAGTCACACTGTAGCCGAGTAGTAGTCTAAACAGGGCCAGATTAAGAAGTTTCCGGGCCCTAGGCTATTCAGATTGGCGGGGCCCCTTTGAGTTACGGGTAAGCGAAGTGACCCCTTCCAGCTTGGGGGGGGGGGGGTCGGTGTGAGCCTGTTTAAGGTCTAATTAAATACATTCTGGCTATTTAGATTAAATTTAATAGGGAAAGTACATCAAGACAACCAAAACCATTTACCAACAGCCATTATAACTATCTTGTTAAATCATGCATTTTACTCTCCAAACACTTGAACTTTTTAGGTAGGGACCCCTTTGCACTTGCGCCATGTGCGCAGTCTTGGATGAGCCCCTGAACCCCTTGGACAGCGAGGCCCCCAAATGCGCGGGGCCCTAGGCAAATGCCCAGTTTGCCTATGCGGTAATCCGGCCCTGAGTCTAAAGGTCACATTAGGGATCTATGCCACTCCCCTCAGGTGGGTTTCAATCCTGCTGACTGCAGTCTTTCTCTGTATATACCTCCGCTTGTTTCTGCGTAGTGCATTAACAGTAACAAGTGTACATTATCTAAGATAACCCAAAAAGTCAGAGTGATTTATTTACATTGGGGTTCTTACAAACCTACAAGTTTTATGCCGAATGTTTTGCCAACCTGTATCATCACTATGAACTCTTGGATTTCTTACCCACCATAGACTCCTCAATGTTAAATATTTACACTTGGGAACCATTTGGAGAAGTAGTGGGTGTCTGATGCTCTCCAGAGATAGAACGAGTGACTATGAAAGTGCTCTTCGGCAGATCAAGGGTTACTCAGTCTGATCGATTTTGACAAAAAAATAAACAATCTTATCGGAAATTTCTCCCTGATTTTAGAAGCGTCCTGTGGTTCGGTTGGCAACCGGTGGTTCAATCCCCGGCAAGGGTAGAAACGTTGAGCATGTTTCCGTACACCTGTTGTCCTTGTTCACCTAGCAGTAAGTAGGTACCTGGGTGTTAGTCGACTGGTGGGGACAAGATTAAAGAATTGCAGTAGAAATAAGACAGACCCTAATGACACACTGACTTAATTGGAATATTCTAGGTGACTAACCCTCCGGGTTAAAAATCCCAACATTATTATTATTATAATCAAGGGGGAAGCGCTAAACCCGGAGGATTATACAGCGCCTGGGGGGGATGTGGAAGGCATTCAGGCTTAATTCGGGGAACTGGAGCACAGATCCAATTCCCTAAATCAAGAGCCCCTCACCAACATCAAGGAACCTTCCTTGAGGGGAAAAATCCCAACAAATCTTATGAGAATGAGTAAAATCTGAATATTACTTACGGAGTTATGAAGGTTTTAAGGTGACGCTTGTGACTTGTTTTATGGCAGAATGAGTGCTTCCGCCTGGAGGAAGGTACTCTCTTCAATTTTCATTGGCCATATTTTTAACACCTATATTTATGTTTTCGTATCATATTTCACTTATATTAACTGTTCAGTCACACTAAACATACGTCAACAAATGTAAATAGCATTTATTAGCTCCCATAATGCCTAGCACTTGTTTTCTCCACATCAGGCTAACTGGGACTATTTTGGAGGATCTAGAATTTTGGCATAAATTTATGTCAAAGGCAGTTTAATGATTAAATATCATATTTTGAGATAATGATTATAAGTATAGATTTTAATATGTGTAAAGGTGTATTATTATCCCTATATATTTTAATTGTTATCCGTCTCATGGATTAATTCAAAGCTGACAGTAAGCAGCAAAGTCTGCGTAAGTGATGTAAAAAATACATAATTCTAATTTTTTAACAAACTGTTTATTGCAGTGACCTTGCAGCACTACCAGCCATGGCTACCATGATGATGACAGGCCCACCAATAATTCTTGTTTACATAGTATATGCCCTGCTCCACCGCTTCTGTGGTTGCTGCCCCGTCACTCCTGAGGTCCAGACAGTGACCCTCCCTCAGGAGACACTCAGTGACACTCCGCAGGAAATCGTTAAACTACTTCCCGATGCCGCTGATGGACTTGCCACACCAGTCATCAAACAAAAGGAGAAAGATCCCTACGCCATCATTTTGCTAGGAATGACTAAGAAGAAACTAATGGAAACCGATGGTAATTACTATGTGACCGTAACAGAAAGTTGAGTGGATTGTTCTGTTGTGGATAGTTGCGAACCATCTTTGTCAGTGTTTGTGAGTTCATTACCTTTGTACCTTGTTCAGCTATCAAAACTTTGGGGCCCAGTCCCTGGACCCATTATGTACCTCTGTAATCTGTAAATACCTTTGTAACTTAGTCATGATTGTGACCAGATCTACCCGACTTATTACCTTTGTAACTTGTTCAGCTTTCAAAACTTCGGGGTCCAGTCCCTAGACCATTATGTACCTCTGTAATCTTTTGACTACCACCCACAAGATGGGTATGAGATGCATAATAAACATTAAACTAACTCAGTGCTGGAAAATGTGACTGAAATCAAGCCACTGTATAACTAGTGTATTAATATTACAATGTGTAGTGTGCGCCATAACCTGGACTACACGTACAACGAACATGTGTAAATTATAGTATAATTAATATATAAATAGTGTAACTACATGTCATTAGCAAATAAAACAAATGATAAACTCTAGCTAGAAATTTCCTTACCTTGATGGGTAGTTATGTCTGCTAGGGCGGGATGTTTAGTGCTATGTTGATTTGTTTTATTACGTCAGTTTCTATGCAATAACCAGAGAATGACTTTGTTATACAGAAGGTTCATGTAGTTATTCGCTATTTTTGAGACCAGTTTATTAGGCAGCTTTTTGGAAAAATAACCAATTTAACCATATCTAGGAAGAACCTGGTTTTAAAGCCCAAACATAGCTCTGTTAATGAGCTAAACAGAAGGAAGTGAATTAGAGTGGTTTAGAGGTGTGTGTGTGTGTGTAGGATGGATGTCAATCTAACTTAGTGTCAGGTAGTATTTATTTACCTAACTTCTCATGCTATCTATCTAATAATATATATATATATATATATATATAATATATATATATATATATATATATAGCTTCCTTGGATGCTTCACTTTCATAGTTCCTTGATAATGTGAGTAGTCACGAAAGCGCTTGGAATTTCTCTATTCTTTCAGAGTGGTTGTTTTGCATATTTTGAAATCACCTGTTTACTGTGATCTTATTGCATATATATATATATATATATATATATATATATATATATATATACAGTGGTCCCTCGCCTTTCGTAGTTCTCGGCAATCGTAAATTTCGCCAATCATAGGGGTATTTTTGTATAAACATGGACTCGCTTTTCATAGGTTGACTCGCGAATAGTAGTTCGTCCAGGACGCTTATGCACGGTGTCAGCAGGGAAGGCCTCCCTACCCAGCCAGTCTAGCATATTTTACCAGTGAGTGAAGGTCCCCTCAAGTGCTCCTACGAAATATTTCATAATATTCCACTCATTTTAGTGCTTGCAAGTACTAAATAAGCTACCATGGCTCCAAAGAAAGCTCCTAGTGCCAAGCCTGTGGTAAAGAAGGTGAGAAATATGTACAGTGACAAAGTCTTGTACCATTTTAGGGAAGTGTTAAAGAGACGCCAGAAACAGAGCTCTCTCCACAGTTACTTTGCGAGACAGGACTAGAGTGACTCTCAAGGTGGTCCAAGTGGCATTAAGAAACAGAGAAGAGAAGCAACCCCAGAGAAGCAATTGGTACCTGAGGTGTTGCTAGAAGGGGATTCCCCTTCCAAACTGTAAACAATCCACTCTCTCTCCTCCTCCAGTCTCCCATACACTAAGAAGAATCTCCAATAAAGGTAAGTGTTATGCTGTTAATGTTTCATTCATCATTTCCCATTGTATTGTTTATGTACTACATGTATATTTCATGTAAAAATTTTTGTTTTAATACTTCTGAGTGTCAGAAACGGATTAATTGTATTTACATTATTTCTTATTTTACCTGGAGTTTACCTGGAGAGAGTTCCGGGGGTCAACGCCCCCGCTGCCCGGTCTGTGACCAGGCCTCCTGGTGGATCAGAGCCTGATCAACCAGGCTGTTGCTGCTGGCTGCACACAAACCAACGTACGAGCCACAGCCCGGCTGATCAGGAACTGACTTTAGGTGCTTGTCCAGTGCCAGCTTGAAGACTGCCAGGGGTCTGTTGGTAATCCCCCTTATGTGTGCTGGGAGGCAGTTGAACAGTCTCGGGCCCCTGACACTTATTGTATGGTCTCTTAACGTGCTAGTGACACCCCTGCTTTTCATTGGGGGGATGGTGCATCATCTGCTAAGTCTTTTGCTTTCGTAGCGAGTGATTTTCGTGTGCAAGTTCGGTACTAGTCCCTCTAGGATTTTCCAGGTGTATATAATCATGTATCTCTCCCTCCTGCGTTCCAGGGAATACAGGTTTAGGAACCTCAAGCGCTCCCAATAATTGAGGTGTTTTATCTCCGTTATGCGCACCGTGAAAGTTCTCTGTACATTTTCTAGGTCGGCAATTTCACCTGCCTTGAAAGGTGCTGTTAGTGTGCAGCAATATTCCAGCATAGATAGAACAAGTGACCTGAAGAGTGTCATCATAGGCTTGGCCTCCCTAGTTTTGAAGGTTCTCATTATCCATCCTGTCATTTTTCTAGCAGATGCGATTGATACAATGTTATGGTCCTTGAAGGTGAGATCCTCCGAAATGATCACTCCCAGGTCTTTGACGTTGGTGTTTCGCTCTATTTTGTGGCCAGAATTTGTTTTGTACTCTGATGAAGATTTAATTTCCTCATGTTTACCATATCTGAGTAATTGAAATTTCTCATCGTTGAACTTCATATTGTTTTCTGCAGCCCACTGAAAGAGATGGGGAAAATTGATTCGCAAATCGTAAATTTCGTTTATAGTAGTTCCTCCAGGAATGGATTAGTTACGAAAAACGAGGGACCACTGTATATATATATATATATATATTATATATATATATATATATATATATATATATATATATTGTGAAGGCTTACTCAGCCCTGTAACAACTTCAGACAGTATTACTCAGGCTGGCTCCTCCTCAGGGAAATTAATGAATAGAAAAAGAAATAATAATTCACAAAGATAAACACTATTTATTAAATCAAACATAAAACAACAAAACATGAAAGGTATATCCTATTTGAAAGGAAAATGAAAAATGAAATGAATAAAATAACATTTGAACTCAACGCTAATATCTACAAGGGTGTCTGGTGTTGGTGACACTGTTGTTGAAACCGTAGCCGTTGCTGATGATAAGGAGGGGGGGAGGTCGCAGGAGTTGGTGACCATCCACTGGCTAGTTCTTCACAGAGAATCGCCGTGATTATTATCCCGATGACAGGAAAGCAGGTTCTTTACTGCTGCAATGCTGTGGAGTTACGTCCTGCACTTTCATACAGGTGCACAGGTAGTTCAATACAAAATGGGGAAGTCTCTGGACGTTAGTCCTTCTCCATCCGTTCTGCTCGTTGATTGCCAGGTGACCCTCTCTGACATCCAAGCTGGAAAGACAGACAATTTACCCACTGCTTAAATAATCACTCTCCATGGTAAGTCTGATACTTAAAAGATGTGGTGATTATTACAACAGTCAACATAGAGCAAGGCTGAAAAGACTAAGTTTATTATTGATCAAAAGTGAAGCTTTTAACCAATAAATCCACTAGAATACAAGGCAGGCATGTACTTACAGTAGTGTTGGGAGCTGTGAGTCGAGTGATTTACTGTTTGACCAGAGCCCCACACGTCACCTTTCGGGGGGGGGGGGAGGTGGAAGAGGGAGGGGAAGGGATAGCGGGAGCTAGACTGACCCTACGTTAACAAGCAGCCGGCAATCAAACTATCACTTTAGGGGTGGGGGAGAAAAGGCGGGAAAAACGGGAGCGTGACTTACCCTACCTTAACTAGTAGCCGGCAGACAAACTATCAATTTAGGGGTTGGGGGAGAAAAGGCGGGAATATCGGGAGCTAGACTGGCAATGAAACTATTGTTACTATATATTCCCTCTCTACTCCTATCTATTGAACTTTTCCCTCACACTCCCCCATACCAAGACTTATAGTCAAGGAGTATAAGAAGAATAGGCGAGGAAAAAGTTCTAACATGTGGAAGTCGCGTAAGGCAACAAATCTTCTACTGACTGTCACGACTTAACCAGTCAGAGAAATAATTGGATGAACCATTGATATACACAATATGGAACTTAAAAGCCTGGAGTGCCAATGTCCACCTCAAGAGGCGACTGTTGGTTCCCTTAAAAGTTTCTAGGTATATCAAAGGTTTGTGGTCCGTTTTTTAAATGAATTCTTTTCCCAGCAAATAAAATTTAAGTTTGGAGATACCCCACACAAGGCTAAACATTCCTTTTCTATTGTGGAGTATCTTGTTTCTGCGGGAAGGAGTTTCCGGCTTAGGAAGCATACAGGGAAGGGAGTACCATCATGGTATTGTAGTAGCACTGCACCTAAGCCAGCATTGGAGGCATCAGTTCTCAAACAAAATGTTTTATTAATATCTGGAATCTTAAGTATAGGGTCTTTTGCAAAGATACTTTTAATCTCATTAAACTTTTCCCGAGCTACGTCGGAAAGTTCAAGAGGTTCCTTCACAGACTTTTTAAGGAAGTCCGATAAGATGCCTGTAAGATCAGCAAGATTCGGGATAAACCGTGCATAAAAATTTACAGAACCAAGAAAGCTACGCATGAGTTTCTTGGTTTTGGGGAATTTAAATTCTAATAAAGCTTTGATCTTACTGGGGAGAGGCTGCAGAGAGTTATTAGAAAGTATCAGTCCAAGATATCTAATCTTGTTATACCCAAGCAAGCATTTCTTCGGCTTGGCAGTGAGGCCATGTGAGCGTAACCTACGCAAAACTGATGTTAATGTTTGGATATGTTCGCCTCACGTAGATGTCATTACGTAAATGTTATCAAAATAAACTGAAACATTTGGCATATTACCCAAGACCTTTCTCATCAGCCTCACGTAGGTATCACAGGCAGTTACCAAACCGAAGGGCATAGTTCTATATTGCATCAGTCCTTGGTGTGTAGGAAAAGCGGTGTACTGCTTAGAAGAAGGATCTAACATTACTTGATGATATGCCTGCGCAATATCAATCTCTGAAAAGAAGGAAGAGTCATAAAATTTGTGTGGATCGCTATCTATTAAGGGCATAGGCTCAGCATCAAACCGAGTTATAGCATTAAGGCCTCTGAAGTCAATAGCAAGTCTATATGAAGTATCCTCCTTCTTAACCATGACTACTGGTGAACAATATGAAGATATTGAAGGTTCAATGATCTTTAGTTTTAACAATTTGTCTACCTCTCGGTCAAATGCATCCCTAAGGTGAACTGGAACTGGGTATAATTTCCGTTTGATAGGATTGTCTGTCATTAAGTCAATCTTATGGACTACCATGGAGGTAACACCTGGAATGTCAGTAAAGACGTCTGAAAAGTTACTCACACATTGAAGTAGTTCATGTCTCTTATGGTCATCCAAAGATTCATTAATATTAATGGTGGTTGCGTCCGAGTGGTCAAGAGTCACCAAGTCATGTAGTTCTTCATCATAGTCTAAGTTAGAGGTGTCAA